AAAATACGTGTGTGCTGGATCAAGCACCGTTCAGCTCTGAGGTGCTATGGGTGTAAATAATATACATGGGCATAAAACAACCCGGCCCCTCTCTCTGATAGTCTCTATGACATAGGGATTTAGTTTTCCATTACTCCTGGGGGTTACGTTGTAGTGTCTCAGCACCCCAAATAAATAAGAAATGAGGCGAAGACTCCTCTCTTCCCGTTTAAAACTCACATGCATGTCAAATGTTTACACCAAAGCATAGCCAGACCCAGACGGCTATGAGGGAAAGAGGCTCCTGGTGCAGAATTTCTCTGTAAGATGACAGACACATTGGGGTTTGGGGACAGTATGTCAAATGTTTACACCAAAGCATAGCCAGACCCAGATGGCTATCAGGGAAAGAGGCTCCTAGTGCAGGATTTCTCTATAAGAAGATGACAGACACATTGGGGATTGGGGACAGGCTAGCTTGAGAACTGCCCTGCGAAGGACCAGCCCAGAGACTAATGTTCCCAAAGAGATGCCAAGGGCAACTGACCACCCTCCTGCCCAGCGGAGCTGCCCCTCATGAGCCCCAGCTTGACCTGGCTAGTTTTTTTTGCCCCTTCGAAGGGTGGTGGCTGGAGGGCAACAAAAGGCTTGTAAAGCTGTACCTGCTACTTTGTTTGGAAGTCTACGTCCCCACAAATACCCTTGTCAAATGAACTCAAAAAGAGCCTGGAGTCTTCGCTAGTAAATTATATTTATTCAAAGCTCTTGGAGTTTGCAGCTAGGAACACAGCTAGGCAAAACCCCAGAAGTATCCCAAAGGAGAAAAGTTAAAAGTTCTTATATTAAAAAAGATATATTCTTGAGAATTATCAGTCCTGCATTCTGAGTCCTAGGTCTGGTCCACACGGTTATCAAACAGATGTCAGGCAGTCGGGATGATGGATGCCAGGCGGTCCAGAGGAGGGGTGTCAGGTGGTCCAGAGGATGGGTGCCAGGCCTGGTCGCACCCAGTGGTCTGGATAACGGATGTCATGTGGGCATGTATGGGAGTCCTTCAGGGGTAGAGGATTACCTGAAGTCCAGATGTATATCCAGGCATTGATGCAGGATTGGGAAACTCAAAAAAAGTTTAAGTTCCCAGGGTAGTTAGAATTAAGAATGAACTCTTTTCTCATGCCTCAACCTTCATAATGTTAATAATTTAAGCAGTTTGGTTAAATGTGTCTATTTTAAATATTCCCTATCTTCACTTTTTTCCTCACATACCTCCCCTCCCCCCACCTTCCAAGAACCGAACTGAACTATATCATTTCAGTATGTAATTCACATGAACATTATTGGAGCTATCTTTACATTCTGTTTTGGTGCTACATCTTTGAAGTCCTGCGTGTATTTAGCACATCTCATTTGGGACTAGCCACACTTCAGGTGCTTGATAGTCACGTGTGGCTGCTGTGTCGGAACGCCCTTCTCCGGGCCAAGGCCAAGGCCAGTCTCCAGCTGCCCTCCGTCCCCAGCGCGTCTGGAGTCTCCAGGGGACGCGTATTCACACCCGCGCAGCATCAAGTCTGCGGGAGGGTCTCCGGTGCACGTGGCACTTGTGCCATCGCCAGCCAGGTGGTGGGTGGAACACTACACTTTTTGGAGGCGCTGCGACACCTCTGGCCCGGGCTCGCACCTACCCGACCCCATACCCGCGGGGAGGGGGTGTCGGTCCCGCACCGCAGCTGGGCCACAGT